CAAGGCACACCAAAGGACAAGTAAAAATCTCAAGGCACACCTATTGTGCGAAATAGCCCTTATAACACGTGTTATCACTCATATCATGTAAAATATCTGTAAATGTGCATAATTATTTACTAATGCCAAATAAAATGTATAGATAGAACAATCAGTGGTTCAAGTTAGTATATTCCTCAGTGTAACATATCCACTAGTTGCAAAGCTTAAACATTTTTATATATTTTTTTATTTTAAGGGAAAGGATGTTTTCACTACTCAGTTTGTCAACTATGTTACGGACAAACTCGATGTCATTACAATCATTTGATTAAGTCCTGCACTTCAAGTAAAATCAAATTTGAAAGGCTCTTGAGTCTATTCTACCATATATCCAAAGATTTTTTAAAGTTTAAAAAATAATTGTATTAAAGTTTTGTTTTTTCATGTGATATGTTCAGCACTGTCATTAAGTTTAGGGATATTTTGTATTATAAAACTACCATACAGGTCATTTTGATAGTTTTAAGAGATGTCATGTAAAACTCCAACCTGTGTAGATATACATTATACTATAAAGGATATCAGAAGCACTATTTTAGATATTTTAAATTTGAAAAAATGAGGTGCAACATAGTTGACAATGAAAGTCAAACATTTGACGCAAATAACATAGTTGACTGGACACATTATTAACCATCAGCACTATGTTAATTTCAAGGCAGAAGTGCAAAATTCCATTGATAATGATGTGTAATGACGTCTACATGTCGTACAAATTGTCAACTAGGTTACCTGTCAACTAAGTTACTACAGTTATTACAGTACTGGGTAACTCAGTTGACAGGTAACCTAGTTGACAATTTCCCTATTTTGACCCATCATTTCAATGGTAGGCCTTGCCTGGATGACCACATGTCATTTTCTTGAACAGGTTAACATCACATTTGCACATATAATTGAATTAAAATCATTAAACAATTGTAAACCATAACAATGTACGTAACATTGTTGATTGTCAATGAGTATATTAATTGACCATGTGCTATTATACATAAAATATTGTAAAAATGTAGAGGACAATCACCACAGTGTGTTCAAAATGTCTGCCAAAGAGGAACATGGCATCATGTGATGCTGGTGACATGGTATTGGGACAAACAATTTTTGAGTTAAAGGGGGAAGTTCTGTTAGTAACATAGTTGACAGAACTTTTGCGGACATTCATATATTAAGATATTTAAATTATTTAAAGGGGGAAATCAATTAAAAATATGTTATTATTCTTTAGTATTTAGACTTTTGAAATAAATGAATCATTTTTTAAATTTACTTTAATGGTTTTTATTCATTATTTTGAATCCAAGACACCCTCAACTGAAAAACGGACATAGCAAAAACTGACAATTTAAGAACATCATGACACATTTCAAGCTAAATAAAGCATAGGATGCACATAATGTTTGTGTGATATTATAACATGCTTTCCAATAATAGGCAAAATATGATATTTTTGAAGAAAATAGTTAGAATAATTATAATTATCATCAATGGACATCAATGGACATGGAATGTACCCTAAATTGTAGAATCACTCAGCAGTTACATACACCAAACCTTCCAGTTATATTCCTATCAATATTATGAAGGCTTTTACAGAAGGGTTTGGTCATATATAATTCATAGCCTGAATTATATAACATTTTATACCTAAAAACATGGTGAAAATTGATATTTTAGGGCTGTTGACAGTATTTTCTGATTTATGGAGTGATACAAAGAGATATCCAAAATCCCTTCTGTAAAAGCCTTAGATACTAATATGACTACAAAATGAAACAATAATTTTGATCCTGGCTTTATCCAAAGTTCAGATTTCGGTTCCTGAAATGTGTTAAAATATGCGCATATTTCATGAGATAATGGTTCATTTGGATATTTAAACATGCTATTTCAGAAAACTTGTAATACAAAAAACAATTGCCTTATTGTAAGTAATTAACTGGAGAAATATTTAGCTGATATCTTTAAGTTAAAAATACCCTATTTACCTGGGGTGTCTCGCCTTAATTAGATGTTTGATAAGTGCAGATCACATAGTAAAACACGTACACAGATACATTATTTTGTATTTTTATTAAATTCGACAATGTCAATTTCACTTTCCACTATGTCCACCGTTGTTTTTCACAACCAATGGCAGAACTTTATTGAGGCCTGTAATTAGTCAACTACAGGTCTCTTGAGTCAGTCTTTTTCTTCCAAAAAGCTTGTGACAAGATGTTATTGCTCTTGGGGCATTAAAAACAAGATTTTAACTTTAGTTTTTTATATAATATCTGCATTTTCTATTGTGAAAAACTAAGTCTTAGTTATTTAATATATAGCGCCATTTCCTGGTTAAACCCTGAAATTGGAGAATAGTGGGAGGGCCTAACATTCCTGAATACTGGTCTTTGGCAGGCAACTGGCTGGCAACTGGCTGGCAGTCGGCAGGAAGCTGTATGCTGGGGTCCAAAATAAGAGGCTCCATCTGTAAGACATGTGCAGAATTTGAGTTTAATGGTGGAGGAATACACACATATTGATAGATGTCTTGTAATGCACTGTTGAGGAATCTGTGACCCAAGTTTTTCATTAATTGCATAACTTCAACATAGTGGTGAATATGATATGTCAATAAACCTTAGAAAATCTTGAAAGGGATGTGCAAAATAGCTATTATATACAGTTTTTAATTAACTATTAGTAGAGAATAACGAGTAATGAATATACTTTATAGAGATCTGCAGATAAATGTTTAGTCTTCTCAAGCACCAACTAATATCTCTCCTGATTGTTGGCACTTGACAATCACCTTTCCCTGAATTTTACTCAGGTGTAACTAAAGTCTGCTTTAAGGGTTGTTTATATTTCACATCATTAATCAGAATCTGCAAAGTAACTAAAATAAATGTAGTGGAGTAAAAATACCAGGTTAACCTCTGAATTGTAGTGGAGTAGAATTACAAAGTAACAATGAGCTGGCATGTGGGTATATATTAATGCTTCCCATTATGGACACAAGCGATTTTCACCCATTTATTAATTACATGTTTTACATTTGTACACACCAATTTGTTTCCTATCCCCTAAACCTCCAGGGCTGTACACAGTTTAATACTGTCAACTTCTAATTTTGGGAAAAACGAAAACGTCTTTTAAAACTACAATTCCCAGTAGAGACGCTATAGAACATGTTGCGAAACACAATAGCCAGCATGTGTAGTTCTGGGGGGGCGTTCGAGTCCAGTTTTGGAAAGTCTGCCGTGGTTTCGTTCCATTTCAAAGAGCTTTTTGGCGCTCGGCGTAACCTTGGCGCACTGCCACTCCAACATCCAATCCCAGAGCTTGAAGATTAATCACGGGGTTTGTCAACGGGACTGTAGTCCCAAACGATAGCTGGGGATTATGGGTAGTGTAGTGTCTTCGGCCATGCTAAACTCTGATTTTTTTTTCGGATTTCATATCGCATTAACACCATATCCCGACGTGCATTGTGGCTAAAACATCCAATCAGCGAGCTGAGGATCTTTCCTACGTCACTTTACAGCCCTGCCCACTTTTGGGGAAACCAGCTGTCATTTGAACGGCGATCAGCCTGAAGCCACAGAGCTCTTCTGTTGTATACTGTCCTTTCTTCTTAGAGGAAGTACAGAAACACGTAACTCTGGATTTGTTTTAATGTTTGAGGTGCAATAAACGACACAGCAGCTTTTTGGCATGTTAAAACTATTATTTTCTGCCTCGCAGCTGGCGAAATTACAGCCTCGCCTACTGATTTTAATTTAACCATAGGATATCAAGCCCGATCGTCGATTTCAAATGTGTGCTCTAAAATGATATTAATAAATTACTATTATCATTATTATAAGCTAGAAAAGAAATGTCAAAGATAGGTAGAAAGCAAACGTATTTAAGATATGTTCAGAACAAACGTAATGTGGGACAAAATACGTTTCTTGTTAAACGTAATTGAGAATGCTGTATGAAACGACTACAAACAATATTGTGATTATTAACCATTAACCAGCATAATAGCGGATTTGGTAAACTGAACAGTGAGCCGCCAGCCAGCGCGAAAATAAGTTTGCTCTAAAATGATATTAATAAATTACTATTATCATTATTATAAGCTAGAAAAGAAATGTCAAAGATAGGTAGAAAGCAAACGTATTTAAGATATGTTCAGAACAAACGTAACGTGGGACAAAATACGTTTCTTGTTAAACGTAATTGAGAATGCTGTATGAAACGACTACAAACAATATTGTGATTATTAACCATTAACCAGCATAATAACGGATTTGGTAAACTGAACAGTCAGCCGCCAGCCAGCGCGAAAATAAGTTTGCTCTAAAATGATATTAATAAATTACTATTATCATTATTATAAGCTAGAAAAGAAATGGCAAATATAGGTAGAAAGCAAACGTATTTGAGATACGTTCATAACAAACGTCATGTGGGAGAAAATAGGTTTCTAGAAGATATGTAGAAAATAAACGTATTTAAGATATGTTCATAACAAATGTAACGTTGAAGGAAATACGTTTCTTGCGAAACGTATTTGAGAATGCAGTTTAGTTTTGTGGGAACGTAATTTCTAGGAGACAGGGTTGAGTGTCTCTACTTTAAAAGATTCACGTTTGACTGAAATGTGAAGAGTAGCTCCGGGTAGTTTGGTATCTTGGTAAACATATAAGATACCAAAGCCCAAAATGACACTGTATGAGCTCAAAATCCACATTTTGAAAGCTTTAAACATACTGTACAGTTAGCGCCATCTCATGTTGGCAAAACGTATTTTACACTTTAATATATAAAAACATACATATTCAACTTAATTTTAGATTTAATTTCAGATGTTTACTTGTATTTCTTTATGTTAAGAATATGCTATATATGAGATCAATCTTTACCAAAGCTTGTAGAGTTGAAGACTTCATATTTGTGTATTTATTTGCTTGTAAAACGTTTTTCTTCCTCTCCTGCAGTCTGGTAAAAAAGTGACCAGCGATCCAAATCCATTCGTCCAGTTCAGAGTGGGACACAAGTCCTACGATAGCAAGGTGAGACCAAAACACGGTGTTATTTTAGGAAGTATACTCCTTAATGGGAGGCGTGTTGCGCAGTGGGTTAGTGCGTTGGTGGTGGGATCAGGGGGGTCACAGGTTCAAACCCCACTGCAGTCAGCATGTCGCTGTGTCCCTGAGACACTTCACCCCAAATTGCTCCTGTGGGGATTGCTCACAGTATTGAGTATGTAAGTCACTTTGGATAAAAGCGTCTAACAAGTAACATGTAATGTAATGTAATAATCTTATGTATCCTCCTCATTTCAAAACGCAACAGAGTTATGTACGTTTTATCTAAAGTAATACTTGAAATACATCATAGGAATAAATGGATTGGGGGTAACTTTGCCTTTTAGTTAGCAGATACTGTAACATTGTGTGAATTTAAGTTGTTAACTTACTTTCTTGTGTCCGTTCATTAAGTACAAAGATAGTCAGGGTGTTGTTAGCCTAGCTTAGCATAAAGACCGGAAAGCTAGTTTCGCCTTGATACTGTATGTTTCAGGCTAGTTTCGAGTCTTTATGCTAAGCTAGGCTAACCGTGTGGTGAATTCAGCTCTGTAAGTAAAACACAAATCATCATATCTTATCAGCGCACTTTCCCTTAGAAATACGCTGTGGTAATTTAGGAGACAATTTTCATGCAATAAGTCTGTTAATTTATTTTAATATAATGTCACCAACGATGCTAAGATAGCTATTCTCTACTGTAGCTGCTAAACTTAGCACATTTAGCGAGCAACTAACAGTACAATACGTTTGGAATTGGCTGAATCTTCACACATTTTAATGGATAAAATGCCATTTTCAGACTTGTTCTATCTTATTAAATACAAAAAAACATATTATTTTGTATTTAATGGAGTTTGTGACCAGTTTACCCAAATTTCCCTCTAACTCCTCTCTGTTGTTTCGTCCTTCAGACCCGATATAAGACCAATGAGCCGGTGTGGGAGGAGGCGTTCACCTTCCTGATCCATAACCCCCGCAGCCAGGAGCTGGAGGTCGAGGTACGGAGGCTAATCTTAGTCTTTTTTTAATATTTTCTTTGCTTCTGTGGTCTAAACTTTATAAGCAGTAAAGGCGAGACAGTCTATGGCAGGGCTTCTCAAACTCCGGACCAAGGTCCCGATCCGTACCGAACTGCAAATCAATCCGGACCGAACCCTGTGTTCCATTACCATGACCGCAAGTTAACCGCAAGTTAACCGCGACTTTCTTAATGCTTCTAATGCCTTTTTTGCCGAGGTTGAAGGCATCGGCTACAGACAAACAGTGCCATTTCTACTGGCATTGATCCGGACCAGTGACCTTGTATACAATTCACAAGTGGACCTTTAATAAAAAGATTTGAGTACCCCTGGTCTATGGGGAGACTCTGGATCTTAATTTTGACGATTCAGTGAAGAAAGAAGATGTCGTACTCTGTCCAAATTAAAGATTAAATGCAGCGCGGCAAAAACCGTGGCATGCTTACACTGTAGGTGCGCCGCGTTTGGGGGTACGGGGGGGGATGCGGGTGCTAGTGGAGCCTCGCAGATGGGGCTGCTGCAGCCCCCTCAGCATCCCCTCAGCATCCCCCCCCCCCCGCGTTTATCTTTTTTGAGAATGAGTTCTTATTTTATTTAATGTATTTGGGTCTACAACAGATGATACAAATGTTTGTGTCAGTAAATGTGTACTAACAGAGGCGGGGGTGTTTGTGAAAACAACGGGGACAGAGCTGGCTGCTGTCAGACAATCAGCTGTGCAGCGTCATCACAAACGGACGTCGCTTCACGTGACGCTCCGGAGGAAAGGATGTCCCATTGCTCTTAAAACTCATTTCCCTGCTTCTCGTGGTTTCCTTGCGTCTCTCCATGCTTCCCTGGTGGGAGGGACTAGTCGCAGGGAAACAACGCAAGTGAGGGACGCAAGGAATCCATTTAACCGACCTGAGATGCAGCCACTGTCAGAGCAAACTGGGCTTACAGGGAGGGGGGGGGGGGGGGGGGGGGGGGGGGGCAGGAGCTCCAACAAGGCATGTAGGACAGAGAGTGAATACACATACTATACAGAGACGCTGTATGAGAAACCAATGTGATTTTGGAACATTGAACAATGTAAATCTATTCTAGTAGACCTCAACAATGGAATTATGATCAGTAGAAATGGCCATGACATGGGACCTTTAAATTATCTATAACCCCACTTTGTACTTTGACGTTTGACTTATTCATCAACATTTAATCAAAATGGCTATAACTTAATGGTTTAATTCTGCAAACTGTCTCAAAAAAGACTCTCTCTTTGGGCCTTTTTAAATATTTTCCTTGCTAATTTAGTCTAAAATATATAAGCAGTAGAGGCGAGACAGTCTGTGGAGAGACTCTGGATCTTAATTTTGACGATTCAGTGAAGAAAGAAGATGTCGAACTCTGTCCAAATTAAAGATTAAATTATCTAAAACCCCACTTTATATAGAGAAACTGCTCGTTATTGTACTTTGACCAATTATTCATAAAGATTTAAACAAAATTGCTATCATTTAATGCTTTGATTCTGTAAACTGTCTCCAAAAAGCCTCTCTCTATGGGTGTTTTTTTATATTTTCTTTGCTGCTCTAGTCTAAACATTATTCGCAGTAAAGGCGAGACACACTCAAGACAAAACCAATGACTTCCCCTCCGTGTGTTTCCAGATTAAAGACGAGAAACACGAGTGTACGTTGGGCGTTTTGACGGTGCCGCTGACTCGCCTTCTGGAGGCCGAGGAAATGACCTTAAATGAACGTTTCCCCCTCAAGAACTCCGGCCCGAGCTGCACGCTGAAGATGAAGATGGCTCTGAGGGTAAGATAAGAGAAGAAGTACTTTATTGATCCCAATTTGGGAAATGTTTGGCACAAGGCATTGCACATGATTATATAACACAGATTCTACACTGATTCTGATTCTGTTTTAATTTCAGGTGCTGAGCTTGGACAAAACCCCTCCCTCTTCCTCCGAACCCTCCTCCCCCTCTTCAGTGCAGGTCAACAAGAACAAGAAAACAAACCCTCAACCTGCCGCCTCTTCCTCCGACTCCCCCGTTCCTCCCTCCTCCACCTTCGATATCCCTCGCTCCGCCTCAGTGTCGGCGCAGGACGTCATGAATCGAAGGAAAGAAGCCAACGATCCGAACCGCTCTGTAGGGAGCACTGATTTGGGGCAGGGAGGAAGAGGAGGAGGTTTAGCTCTGAGTGGGAGGAGCTCCTCTAATCTCGCCATTTCCGGGTCGCAGCAATATCTGGCGGGCGGAAAAGAGCTGACTCCAAGCATCGCTTCTGATATCTCCAACCCTTACGCCACTCAGGAGCTCCAGCAGAGACTCGCGCAGCTGCAGAAGTAACTATCAAACTATCACATATCAATTTATCTCAAGTCAATTCAACTTTATTGTCAATCTTTCAGTTTGTGTGTACCAAGCCCCAGGGAAGTGCCCCGGATTCGTTGTGGCCAAACGGCGGTACTACAACTCCCGTATCAGTCCGTGACGTCACCCGGTCCAGAAAGACTTTTCCCCATTGACTAACATCGGGAAAGAGTAGTCTGTAAATCAGCTTATAATTTTTTTTAAACGAAATAAACTACCCAGCACGAACACTATTACATCCCTTATTAGAATCATTCGTTTCTTAAAGTTGTAAAATGCACTAAAAGCCGAGTCTAGATTTATTTTCTCTCTCCATTCATTCTACTGAGCCGAAGGTGGGCAGGGCTTAATGACAGGGGGCGGGGCTTACGGGAAAACGCAACTGCGCTCTATGAGCTACATACGGGTACTTCTGCTCTGACAGCAAGGCATGATGGGTAATTTGTGACGTTTTGCTCTCGAGAATGTCAGGCCATTTTGTCCTCATGCGCCAATGAGCAGCTCTCATAGGAAAGAACGAGACCCCGCCTCCCACGCTGTATACAGTTCTTATTCTACATCCATGGTTTAACCCCCTCTCTCTCTCTCTTTCTGCAGTGGTTCTGGTCCTGGTCACTCCCCTCTGGGTGAGATCCAGCTCACCATCAGACACTCCTCCCAGAGGAACAAACTCATCGTGGTGGTGCACGGCTGCAGGTACGAACAACACAGAACCAGGAGTTTTACTGACTCTATATATCAGGAGAGGGTTTTTTAAGTCTTCAGTTATAATCTGTTGTTTCCCTTCCCTCAGAAACCTGATAGCGTTCACGGACCACGGCTCGGAACCGTACGTCCGCCTCTACCTGCTTCCCGACAAACGGAGGTCAGGGAGGAGGAAAACTCACACCTTCAAGAAGACCCTCAACCCCGTTTACGACCAGACGTGAGTCCCACCTTCACTGGCCTTTTTGGACAACTTGTTTTCATTAAAAGTCAAAAAAGAACTAGATCTATGATATGTAGTTCGTGGAGTTATCCCAAATCTTTCCAACAATTGTCAAACCAGAGAAATCTGTCGTTATTAATCAGAATCAGAATCCCTTTATTAGTCCCACAGAGGGGAAATGTACATTTGTTACAGCAGAAAAGAGCCAAAGACAGCGTAATGTTACCTAAGAAGCATGCATGAAAAAAAATAACAGTCAAAAAAGTTGAATAATTTACAAAATGCACATCCTGTAACAGTTCTGAGGATTTAGCAGCCAGGTATATATTGCACAGTTATTAACGGCATATATATATTGCACATAGTTGGTTGGTATTTAACAACAAGGGGTGTTGTCGTCTGTTAACAAGGTAGCGTTGCATTTGGCCTCCTCTAATGGCATTTTACCCCCATATTTTACTGTCAGAAACCTTCAAGCCACATATTTACAAAACACTTTGTAGATTTGTAGATAAAAAAAAACAGTGACTTGATGGGATGGTGAGAGCAAATGATATCACCAAACGCTGTCTTTAGTTAATTTGTTGATTGACAAGAATCAGAATCCCTTTATTAGTCCCACAGAGGGTGTGGTGGGGGAAACTTCTGTAGCAATGGAGAGTCAGGACTCAAAGAGACACGAGGAGAGCTGGAGCTTTGATGGCAAACACTGACGGTTTATTTGGAGCTTCGGCCAGAGAATTGACAAGACAGGTGGTGTGTCACGAGTTGACACAGCGGTTGCCAAACCAATTCTGAAGAACTCTTTCTGCAGCTCGAGGTTTTAACTAGTTCGGAGTGTAATAATCAACATTCTTTATCAGTGAGACTAAACAATTATGGACCCTGAATCTAACTAGAGCTCTCGTCCATAGGAAAGAATGTGCGCCAGAGAACCTACGTCCCTGAACAGTAAACTACCTCATGGCGGCTTGTGCTCTGTCATAGACTGGCAACAACAATGCGCCCAAGCTGCTCCTCCTTACGAGAGATAGCAGCAATACCCAAGGCCGCAGACCTATGCCATGGGAAGGAGACAGTGAGATGAGAACATGATGAACTGGTTCGAAGGTTGAATACCTAAGCAAATTATTCCCTAACAGTGAGCATTTGGTGAGGGATATTGTCAGATATCTGGAACAAACTCCCAGAAACCTGCAGGTCCGCTGCAACTCTGACTACTTTTAAATCCAGGCTGAAGACTTTGTAACTTTTATTTATGTTTTATTATCTTTGCTTTTTAATGTTTCTAATGTGTTTTATGCCCTTAATGTCTTTGATTTTTGTAAAGCACTTTGAATTGCCTTGTAAATAAATACTATAGGCGCTTTCACACCAAGTACTTTTTCCCAGGAATAGTTCCCGGAACTTTTATTTCCTGGAACTATCTAGTAAATCGTGTTCAAACCGGAATAAGTCCCTGAGGGAGCCGCTGACGTCACTTCTTCTTCTTCTGCTTTGGGTTTACTGGCAGGCCGCAAACAACTTCACGGCGTATACTGCCACCCGAAGTCCCCGGCCAGAAGTCCCCGGAGTTCTTCCGAGTAAATCTCCAGAACGCCGACACCTCCTCATCACTCCACCGCTCCCCTTTCTTTTGTGTTGCCATAAGTTAGTCTCTCTCCGTTTGTGCGCTGGGCTAATGCTAATGCTAATAATGCTAATGCGAGCAAATAAAATGGCGGCTTCACAAAAACTTTTCTGAGTTTTACGGGGCGTGGTTTGCAATTCGCCCAGCCAATCAGAAATTGGAACCTTTTCCTCCCCAGGAAAGTACCTGCTCTTTAGCAGGCACTAAAAAGGGGTGAAAAGGTTCGCAAAAAAAAGTTCTAGCTCCAGATCTTTTTGGTGTGAACGCAAAATCCCAGGAACTATCGGAACTATTCCTGGGAAAAGTACTCCGGTGTGAAAGCGCCTTGTGCTTTTAAACGTGGTATTTTAGCAGCTGATGATTGGTAATGTTTCCTCTCCTCCTCCTCCTCAGCTATGAGTTCAGTGTGTCTCTCGTGGAGCTCCACAGACGCACTCTGGACGTCGCGGTGAAGAACGGAGGAGGACTGCTCTCCAAACACAAAGGCCTTCTGGGAAAGGTACGCTCTCTCACTACAGATTCTACATGCTTCATTAAATACAGAAATGTCTTGAAATCAATCCAATTATCTATAAAGCAGTCTTTGTTTGAGGATTATGGATTTAAATCTTGAGTTTTGACAATATTCCAGTGTGTTCATCTACCTGAAATAGTGTTACAAGAGTATCTTCAAGGATGGTAGATTATTCTGCTCATGTCATATCAACTGTTTGCAGTCTTTTAAACACTTGATTTAGCATTTTTAAATAAGCTCTGTTGTCTTTTCTCCTCAGGTTCTGGTGGATTTGACGTACGAGGACACGTCTAAGGGTTGGACACAATGGTGAGTGATTGATATCTCACTTATTATTTATAAAACTCTGATCATACAAATATGAAGACCAACAAACAGCTCAGTTTCATGTATGATGTTAAGAAATCTTTGAATCAAAATAAAAGCATGTATCTGTCAGATTTCCAAAATAAAAGCATGGATCTGTCAGATTTTCAAAATAAAAGCATGTATCTGTCAGATTTTCAAAATAAAAGCATGGATCTGTCAGATTTTCAAAATAAAAGCATGTATCTGTCAGATTTTCAAAATAAAAGCATGGATCTGTCAGATTTTCAAAATAAAAGCTTCTCTTTCTCCTCCTGCAGGTATGAGCTGAGTGAAGATGGTCTGACGAAACCTCAACAACTATAGAGCGAAACAACCATCACAATCACCATCATCATCATCACAATCATCATCACCACAACCATCATCACCACAACCATCATCATCATCACCACAATGATACAGTACATCTATTATTTTTACTAAGTGTACAAAGTAAAGAAGAAGCAGCTTTGATCCATTTAACCACATCAGTCGCAAGGCAGACCTCCCCTTTAAGAAGAGCCAGGCTTTAAAGGGAGTATTCCACATGTAGAATATTCAATATATCACCAATACTACCATGTACTGCTATGGAAAATATATTCCATATTTATAGGAGAATATATATATCAGCTGTAGAGGAAGACAATCTATTTTTTTGCGGTAACATGTAAAACTTTGTAAATATATAAACGATGACGCTCGACTAAAGAGGGCGCCGTGTTTGAGAGAGATTCAGGCCAAATGATTGTTTGTCGTTTTCTTTGATTCATTCGTTTTTATGAATGAAAAACATTCTAGACGCCACCAAAGAGACGAGAAGTCATTTTTTGTATTCTCTTCCCTCGTTTGCTTTCCTCTGGTTTAATTCCACTTTGATAACATGTATTTAAAACATCTTAAAGATAAGTATAAGTACACACAGGCAAGGCAGGCAACTGCTTGGGGCCCAGGACCAGAAGGGGGCCCCCAAAGGAGGTAGATTAAGAAGGTCCACAACATTAAACACCCTTTCATTTACTGCAACGACATGTCGGGAAACCCCCTCAAGGCGGCCCCATGCATAGCGCGCCGTAAAATGCTGCTTCTTATTTTAAGTTTCGTTCCCTTGCTCCGCTCTGGGGGGGGGGAAGAGTGTGTTGGGGCTGGTTTCGAGGGGCCCCCAGTGAATTTTTGCCTAGGGCCCCCACAGACTCTAGAATCGCCACTGAGTACACAAAAGGTGTGTTGAATCCACAGTTTTTGTATCCGGTAATACACCTGTTGTTATTCTAGAATAAGGCCATTGTTATTGTTTTTAAAGCTGAATATTTTGTGATTTTTGCATCTATCTGGGATCATCAGTCGGTTTTAGCGAGTAGTTCTTATCTCAAATTAAGAGTATTTATAATTGAAAAAATGCCAAATTAGAGAGTCATGTATTGCAATTATATAAATAACATATTTATGGAGTAGTGTTCCCTTCCTTTATGAGAAAAGACCTATTTTTTCTGTTAAATATGAAAGTTAGAATTTGAAAACAGACAGATTTATCCGTATTTCCCCAAATATTAGTATTGCAATTATCACGCATATTTTCTTCATTTATCTAAAGCCAGTATGTATAAAAACACATTTTATACACATTTATGGTATTGTCATGTTCCCCGATTAATGTGTATCATAAAGAAACCATCACTTCCTGTCGGCTTTTCACAATAAGATATCTCCAGTTTTTTGTCTTTTATTTTGAAAATACAGGAATAAACCAGTGAATAAAGACAGTGCTTGTGATGTGATTAATGTGTAGCTATCCTAAAGAAAACATCACTTCCTGTCGGTTTTTCACAATAAAAGATATCCAGTTTTTTGTTTATTTGAATATCTTTTATTTTGAAAATAAAGACAGTGTTTTTGATGTTTAAATTACAGAAGAAATCTAATAAAAGTGGCTTTAAAAACTGATACAATTGGGAAAAAATGACATTAACAAAATGTACACATTAACAGTTTACACTTTAAATTTACACCAAAAATATTCCTAGTACAAATATATGTTTGCACCACTTTTCACATTAATAAAAACACTTCTGATTGCTTTAAAAAAAAAAAGAAGCTTTTTAATACACAAAAAAGTACATTTAAAAAATTCACATTGGTGAACTAAGAGAAATTATCTGCAACACAAAAAAATGTCCCCTTTTTATAACATTGTCAAAAATATGCGAAAAATAAGCTTTATTTACTGGCCAATAAATATGGACAAATAATGGAAAGTTGGAGTAAGATGACGACAAAATCTTCTGAAAAATATCAAATAATTACAAATAAATCCACAAATAACGGTTTTTAAAATTGATAAAATTGGAATTAATTGACATCTCCTAAAATTAGAAACAAGGTCTAAAAAATGTGCTTTTTTCTTTAGTTAGTCACCATTTCAGTCTGGGTTTATATCGTCATAAGTTCCGCTATAATCAAGTTTTCCACATGTTGTTTATGAATCAACATGAGTCTTAATGTGTCAATAATACGTGTCATTTTTAGGTCTTGAAATTGTTGAAATTCACGTTTACTTATTCTTTTATTTGGTGTACATATATTTGTTACCACGCATATCATGTTTAAAAACTGCATTGATTTCACAGCACTTGCTCAAAAGGGATTTATATCAAACTACAACATAAATGTTAGTATTTAAAACAGTAAATAATATCGTTTCTTTTCAAATACACTCTCTTGCTATCAAGAAAGTATTTTACGCACATGTATGAACGCTCTGTTATGTATGTAATGTTTCATTACGTGTATTTTGCAGCTGTCACCCATTTCTCTTCCTTGTTCCTGTTTTATTTTGAAAGGATCAAACTGTTTTCTCTTTTGGATGCGAGAGCTTCTCTGAAAGGCGGTTTTGTTGTTCCCCGTCTTCTTAATTTTTCTTGTGCCTTAAGAGATATTTACGTGTATAAAAAAATAAGAAGATGCTTCAACAGTTTTTCCTCATGTGTCACAATGTCTCCTAAATGTCTTTTAAAAAGAAATAAAGAGCTTTAGCTGGCTATAGCAGCATGGAGCTGTACAGCACTGTGTTTCTCATCATTTCTGTATTTATCATTGCACTCCTATTGGCTAGCGCTCCAACACATTGTACGTGATAGGCTAAGGGGCGGGACATCTCTAAGCGGTCGACCAATCACAACTGAACATTAAAGCATGGAGACATGTCCCAGTAGAGACACTACATACTGATATACACCTGAACATCAGCAGGAGAGTACTCTTTAAAGTAGAGACACTACATAATGATACACACCTGAACATCATGAGGAGAGGACTCTTTAAAGTAGAGACACTACATACTGATATACACCTGAACATCAGCAGGAGAGGACTCTTTAAAGTAGAGACACTACATACTGATATACACCTGAACATCAGCAGGAGAGGACTCTTTAAAGTAGAGACACTACATACTGATATACACCTGAACATCAGCAGGAGAGGACTCTTTAAAGTAGAGACACTACATACTGATATACACCTGAACATCAGCAGGAGAGGACTCTTTAAAGTAGAAACGCTACACACCTAAACATCAGCAGGAGAGGACTCTTTAAAGTAGAGACACTACATACTGATATACACCTGAACTATCAGCAGGAGAGGACTCTTTAAAGTAGAGACACTACATACTGATATACACCTGAACATCAGCAGGAGAGGACTCTTTAAAGTAGAGACACTACATACTGATATACACCTGAACATCAGCAGGAGAGGACTCTTTAAAGTAGAGACACTACATACTGATATACACCTGAACATCAGCAGGAGAGGACTCTTTAAAGTAGAAACACTACACACCTAAACATCAGCAGGAGAGGACTCTTTAAAGTAGAGACACTACATACTGATATACACCTGAACATCAGCAGGAGAGGACTCTTTAAAGTAGAGACACTACATACTGATATACACCTGAACATCAGCAGGAGAGGACTCTTTAAAGTAGAGACACTATACTGATATACACCTGAACATCAGCAGGAGAGGACTCTTTAAAGTAGAAATACTACACACCTAAACATCAGCAGGAGAGGACTCTTTAAAGTAGAGACACTACATACTGATATACACCTGATATTCATATCAAAAATCCAAAGGAGCACAAAAACAACAGCAGGAAACCTCCATTTGAAAAACAGCTGCAGTTTACTTTAATTTTCACTTTTTGAAATAAAATCTCAGAAATCAGAAAAATGCTCAATTTAATTTCTGAGGTGTTGTTTTTTTTTGGCAGCTAGACTTCATCACTTATGTTGCTCTCACAGCAAAAATGCATTCATGACACAATCTTAATTGTGTTTATAAAAGATTTAAGGGTAATTCAGGTTTATTTAAAATAATGTCCCTTTTTTTTAACCATTAAAAGTCCAAATTACATCTTAAATAATTCATATTTCACCTTAAGTATCACACTCTGCTCTCATTACACCAGACCCATGTTTAGACACTGATGTTTTTAGGCCCACTACATTTCATATTACAACTTGGCATATTTGTATTGCAGACTACTTATCCGTAAGGGAATACAGAATACAGTACACAGAAATGCAATAGCACAATGTACTGTTTGGGCTGATAATAGAGGTAGAGTAGCTCTGTTTTACGACTTACAATGCTTGACAGAAACCCTGCACACTCCCAGATAACACAGATAAGAATTCAAGTAGGCTATATTATATGTAATGGAGAACAACTTTCATGGCTGTATGAATGTAAAAGATGGTGTTTTAGTATATTAAAAAGTCGCTGAATGAAGAACTGGACAAAGTTCTTGCTGCTGTGTGCAGGTAACTGTGTTATTTCATCAACAATGTTACTTGCAAGAAGTGTGCATGAAAAGGGTTAACAAAGGGTTAAAGAAGTCAGCAAAACAGCCCCCAACACTTTGTTTCCCTCAGTGGGATTGCCTTGTAGCCTCACTAACTTATTAGAAGGACTTTGGAACAGGGTAATAGTCCTCTGCCACGTTGCCACTATAAAACCCTGATGAGCTATCCGTCTTCTTCCTGCTCTCATGCATATTTAAACTTATAAAACATATGTCAGTGGTGACCCATCCTCATCGATGGTGGGCGGTGACGTAGGGAGGGAACTTCCCTCTCTTTCTCATTGGCTTAGTTTCTCTGATTAGATCATCTCTCTGAGAGTGAATCTTAAATGTATGTGTGATCAACAGATGCTATTTTAGGGTGAGATGGTTTGCATACAGTGACAGAGGGGGTATCAGCTGCTATGACAAAGCTTGTAGGTGTAATTTCTAACACCTCCCCTTCTCAGGTTTGCAACAAGTAACAGGTTAAATGAGAAAGCTGTTTC